TTTGCTCCGCTATATATTTTTCACTGCGTGAGAACATGATGTGTGGCATAAGAGCGCCATGAATTGTCGGACTCAGCAACAGTAACTAAGGGGGGGCGGATCTTTGTGAAGGGTCAATTATGAATTAACGTAGGCTTGTCACACTCTCTGGTAAATTTTTACTCAAACTTGACATAGACTGACATTTTGGACAAAATTTTTCTGAGTACAGTCAAGTCCATGTAATGTATAACATGAAAGATAAAAAAATTTAATATGTAACAACATAAATTTAAGATAACAAGACATTAAGAAATGTCTCCCACTTGAACTTGATTGGTTAAGGACTTGGACTTGACTCAAAATGGACTAAGACCCAACACTACTGTGATCTTGAATTCACATCACTGCACCTTCTGCGGTTGAACTTCGACACTATCAGTTCATTACTGATCTTGTGCACTGATCTGAAAAGTGAAACCCCTCAAATTAGCTCTAACTCTTGCAGATCCCACATTTTTGGACAACCTTTGCCCAATTCGCTCCTCAGATGTCTCTTAGGTTTCTTTTATGTGTGTCCTTTCACAAATTACCACTTCTCCTTGTGAAAGCTCCAAGGACTAAACAGCTCGTCCTCCAAATGGAAATCAAAAATAGAAATGGGGGAAAAAAAACAATATTTTTCAGGGTTTTGGTTCACAGACAGAGCAGACAGAAAAATAGTCACAAACAAAATCTCACACTTTCAAGAGCCCTCCAAAAATATCTACTGTAAAATAATGGAATATTTCCAATTTATGTGTTGCTTGTTTTTGTCCATATTTTTCTGAAAAGTTCTTTTTGAATGGCCATCAATAGAAAAAAAAGAAGGATTCTTTTTGGTATCTATTTACTGGCATTAAGACATCAACCAGCAGAGAGTCGTTTGAAGATAACCAGCCAAACCTTGACTCCTTGGCTCAAACAAACAGCAATGTTTGCACAGAACAGTAGCATTCAGACTTTTTGGAAAATGTGTGAACTGAACTCTGTAGCTTACATTGTCCTAGCTCAGTTTAATTAAGTATTTTAATATTGTACACCTTTAAGTAGAGGTGCAAACTTTATTTATATTACTTGGCATTTCCCAGTGGCGTGCACGGACATGCATACACACACTCAAATGCGCGAATACAAAACAGCGTAAGCAAAATGGGAAATATTTCTCTTGCAGTGCAAAATAAATACACTAGGGAAAGAAATATATGTTAAAGAGCTGACGTTTAACCTGTATTATGTATGACTTTCCATGCAAATGTTACAGCACATAGAGAAAGAAACCTTTGATCAATGCTCTTATTTGGTGATAGTGAGGCTGTAGTATTAAGAATGGATTGAGAAGCAATTAATCCATTGAATTAAGATTTTAGAACAGACTAGTTTTTATTTTGGTAATAGTGCTGCAGTCTTCTGAGGCGTGCTCTCTACAAATGTTGCTCTTTGACCTTGATGACTGGTTTGCTATTGTGTTAAATGAAATATTGGTCCCCTCCAGATTTGGCCAGGTAGTAATAGTTGATTGTAAAACCTTTAATTTTCCAATTACAGCTCCATTTCTTACTGATAAATTAACATCATTCAGCGCCTGCTGAAGGAGTTATTCAGGACAAGAGGAGTTTAAAGATGTAAAACATGCTCTCCCACTTCTTTGATGCTGTGATTTATTCTTTATATCTTCGTCTCTGTCTTTCGGTTCCCATGGTTCAGCTGCCCTCTTCAGGCATTAGGAATTTCCAAATACATATTACAAAATATTTACACAGGACCATTTCCAGCTTACGGCAAACAGCCTCGGCACTCATTTGAGATTTTGAATTCATCAATACATACAGCACCAAGCCTTCAGGCTCAGTAAAAAGGCAAAGGTATTACTACGAAACTGTAGATAAATATTTATTTGAAAATACCTCAGCAGTGGCAGTCAGTACAGACAGTGTGTATTGTTCACAGGGATCTCTGCCCTGATGAGGGAGTAAAAAAAAAAAAATCACCAAGAAGCTGGTTTGACTGAATAACAACACAATGGCTGCCTGATATGAGAGTGGATTTAGCCTGCAGGAAGCATGAGCAGACTGTAAACACACATCTGAGACGTTCTTCTGACAGAAAAGCAAACAGTTTAAAGTGTGGGATATTACAGAGGTATTAGATCCAGTTTAAACACACTCAGATCATTTTACGGAGTTCAAATTACCATAAAGAGCTGGCTAGGAAGCTAAAAAAGAAACAATGCTAGATTTATTGCATTGGTAAATGTAGAGGCAAACATTTTTGATACAGGTGATAACATATAAGGGCATGTCAAAAAAGTTACTAAGCCCTGTGGGTTCTTTTGATAGTACATTTCTTTATAAAGGGCCTGGTCATACTCCTTTCCTTTCGGGTAGATGCCTACTGCAAACCAATTCTTATACAGACTGTAGTCCCAGAGGACAGAAAACATGACGGCAAGGGTCTCAGTGTAGTCATTTCTGCTTCGCTCAAACAGGTCGTAGGTCATAACCCCCACGCAGCCAGTGGCCTGAGCGCTGATCTTGCTGAAAGTGCATACTTTCAGTCTTGAGGGGGCGCACTGTGGGCTGAGGTGGATTGGAGGTTTCACCACTCTCAAGATAGACCCTGTGGGATTTATATGGATGAATCATAAAGACGCACATATTTACGGCTACACAAAATGCACATTTAAATGGATAGTTCACCGCCCCAAGTTCAAATTTTGTTATCGTTTAATCACCGTAATGTTGTTCCAAACAAGTATGCCTTCTTTCTTCATTGGAACACAAAAGATGATATTTTGAATAATTGTTTTTTTGTCCATAAAATTAAATGAAAGTACATTAAATGGGGTCCAAAACATTTTATGGAAAAAAACACTAAAGCATTTTTCAAAATGTCTTTTATGTTCCATAGAAGAAAGAAAGTCATACAGGTTTGGAATGACATGAGGGTGAGTAAATGGTAACAGAATTTCCTAAATGCATTTTATACTCCTTTACTTATATATATATATATATATATATATATATACACATGTTACACATATAGAAGTTTAGAGACAAAGTTTTAGATTTGAATGCTTGGTTTAACATTAGTTTTGCTTCTGGTTGCAGTTTCACTTTGGGTTGAGGAGGCAGTAGTTGTTTGTCAGGTTGGTGATCTCTATGGTGGCGTGTCTCTTGCTGCTCACGTTGGCAGCGGCAGCCTCAGCAGACTCAGTCATGATGGTGCACGATAGATCTGACTGATGGCTGAAACGGAGAGAAGTAGAGAGGAGAGGGATGGTGTGAGAAAAGAAGTATGTACCTCACAGTAAAAAGAAGTGGAATGCAGTTTTGTTTACACTGCAGTGAAAATAAAATAACTTTTCTCTTTTTCTTTGATATAAAGTTTGCTATCACAAGTTAATTGTCCTCTGTTTGAACTGGTGTATTTGAATTCAGTATTTTATTCCTGAAAAAGATTCTGTACTGTCTGGTGTGTGTGTATGTGCATACACTTCAATATAAAACATAGAAGCATTAGATTAAAGTTCACACATTGTCAATGTTCTCAATGTTATCTAGGGAATAAACAGGGTCACAGTATATACACGTAAAGAGCATGCCCCACTTCAAAAAACATTGTGACTGTAGCAGTCTTCAATTTTATAATGCATTGCTTTTAAAGGAAACAAAGAGTGTGAAATAGAGTTGCTCAATTGTCCATAACTGAATAAACTGCCTTGCAATGTTATAATTTTAGTATGGAAATAAAAGGATACATTAGAATTAATTTTTGATTATTAAGTTATGATTATTAAGCATATTTCGTCTCAAGGAGAATGAAGGCTTACCTCTGTGGTACTCTGGAGTGTATGTGTGTGTGTGTTGCTCAGTAACAGTGCGTTCCGAAAGAGTCACTGCGTTTTTACTTTGACTCCCTTTCCCAGTTTTCATGATCAGCAACAAGAACAGTACATACCCACCTGCAAAAAAAGTATGCTTACTCAAATTTAGTGTACACCCTCTTTACGCACAAACATGGAGATGCACACACATATCAGCTCAAGAGGCATCACTGACATTGGTGGGAAAATGTTTGGAACAGTTCCACATCCAAAACTAGTCGTTAGATTTGTTAGACCAGAACAGTGAAGTTGCATGTACAGATCTGTCTCAGAAATGACTCTGTTTTTAAGGGCTTTAAACAAGATTCAAACAAGTAGGTATGGTAGCATTTACAGGAATACGTTTTAGGTGAGGTTTCCTGATAATTAATTATAATTAGTCTTTGTTGTGTTTAGTACAATAATAATAGCATTTTGAAACGGTTTGGATGGGAATGTTTGTTTTGTAATATGTTTTGAATAATGAGTCTAGAAATATTCTCACTTCATTTCCTGCTTGAACCATAGTGGGGAAAATAGTTGTTCATAGAAAAAAAAATAGGCAACAGTTTGCGCGCACACGCACACACACACACACACACACACATACACACACACACTTTTTTTTTTTGATAGGATAGGTTAACATTTGTTTATGGTTCATAGTTTTAAATTGCTTAATTTTATGTTATTTATTTGATGTTTCTTATAAGAAATGTATGTGAAAAGCAAAGGGCAGCTTGAAGAGCATGACGCTACAGCAATGACAAGGTCATGGGTTTGATTCCCAGGGAGTGCATACATTTATACTTTATAAATTCTATTTATGAATTGAATTAATGTATACTAATTATGTATCATTTATGAATGCAATAAGTCTCTTTAAATAGAAGCATCAGCCAAATTATCACCTCATTTTATATTACATACTATAGTGCAGACACAGAAGCAAACATAAGTATTCAAAACAGTCTTTTTCTTTTTTTATTTAGGCACGTTTTGAGAATTTACAGTCAGAAAATTGGGCAGCATAAATGCAGGTATTAATACAGACATAAAAAAGTGACTTCAACATTTGAAAGCACAATGGCATGTGCATGATGACTTATTAAAAGATGACATTTAATAAGCATATGATCAAATTTGTTTATTATTTAGCCCATCTTATCATAGACCTCTAGCTTAATAATAGCCTTGCCCACAGTAGACATGGTGGCCCTTAAGTCTATTTTCTTTCCTCTGTGGATGATTCCAGATCCCACTGCATCTGCATGGGTGAACTGACTGAAGTCCTTCCCCTCATACATGTGCTTGTACAGGGCCTTGTCACATCCACGGCTGCTTTCAAACAACCCAATGCCCATCACGTTCTTGTAGAGGTGGCAGTCGAAGGGGACAGAGAACAGAACGGCCATGCGCTCAGTGCACATACGGTTCTGCATGTGGAAAAGGTCATAGGTCAAGATGCCCACAGCCCCGGTGGCAGTGTTGTCATCCTTAGTGAATGAGCAAACCTCGGTCTTGGCGGTGCGGATGGTGGGTTGGGGTGGATGGTAACTGAACCCACTGGGCATGTACACTCTGAGAGAGGTTTATAGTTAACATTGGTCAATAATATTTTATAGATATGTACATTTACAATACATAACAGAGAGTAAATGAAAGGGATTTGCCCTACACTGTAAAAAATTATGTGATCTATAAGTTATAGTAACGTGTTTTTTTCATTACTTTAACTTATCAAAATAATTGACCCAATTACAGTGTACAACTGAACACAATTCAATTCTTAAAGTCACTACTCTTCATTTTAATTGCATTTTTTAAAGAGTTTTCCTGATTTATCACCCACTAAAGAGATTTTGTCAGTAACTTAATTTAAACAATTGCAAGTGAAGGCATGACTTTCCCCTTACTTTGGATTGATAAGGCAGTAAATGCTGCTAACATTGTTGATCTCCACTGTACAGTTCCTATTAGTGTTTATAGTTGCTGACACGGCTTCTGCGTTCTGCATGTTGGTACTGCTTCTGTGGGGGTCATGAAAGAGAAAAAATATTTTAAGAAAAGACTGGAAAAAATCTTTTGAAAAGAAAATTGCATTCAGCAAAGTACTAAAGGGACAGTTCATGTAAAAATATGTATATATATATATATATATGTATGTTATATGTAAAAATGTGTGTGTATATACAGTGGGTACGGAAAGTATTCAGACCCCCTTAAATTTTTCACTCTTTGTTATATTGTAGCCATTTGCTAAAATCATTTGTTAATTTTTTTTCCTCATTAATGTACACACAGCACCCCATATTTAAGGGGGTCTGAATACTTTCCGTACCCACTGTATATGTACTATACATATACATACACATATACATTGAAAGTGGATGGGGACTGGCTGTTGTCTCTATTCACTTACATTGTATTTAAAAATGCAAATTGGATATTCTGATACATAATTATTCTTTTATAGCAAATGAATTGTATAGCAAACACTATAGCATTTTAATCAAATAATTTTGATTGACATGCAGCTCAACATTTACACACAAATCCAGGCAAAGCCTAATCTGTCTTCTCAGAAACTAGCCGCTAAATGTGACAGCAGGTAGACAGATGAGTGTTTTCTACAGTTTTAGCACAGTCGCTAAAAGATCTCAAATAACAGGCCTGACAGCATGTCAGAATATGGATAGCTGCTTGCAGGCTCCATATGGCTCAGAGAACTAAACTGTTAGCAGAGACAAACAGTGATGCAGTGAGCTGAGGATCATGACATGCACCAGCAGACACAAGCAAGAAGACTTTTTACCATCGTTACAGTGCAGATGAATTAAGGGTTAATGCTCATTTCTGTATTTAAGATAAAGGCTTTTTTTACCTTTTGTTTTTACAGCGCACACATGGAACTTATCACAAACTGGTTAATAAATACCTGACAGTTACCTGCTAGTAAGAGAGGTTGCTGCTGCTGAGAGAATTGTGGGTTTGCTGCTCCTCTGTTTCAGCGTAGATGAACAAAGTGGTGGATGAATGACAGAAACACTCGTAGACACACAAACACCTGTTTGACAAACACAGGTGTAGCGTCTGGACCAATCAAACACACAATATATATTTTGTTAGCTATATTTAACAAATACTCTGTAACCCCCCTCAGTTAACAAGCCATCGTGTCCCCTTCTTTCCCCTCCAATGCTGACAGGAAGGGGGAAAAAAACGGCAGAAACATTTGTGGGAGAGTTTGATGGGAGTTGACGCAGTTAGACTGACTAACTGCTTTCATAAATCTTCAATCACATAGCTCCATTTAGAGAATTCATGGGCACACAGCCAATAAAAATGCCAGGAAAACTCCATCATGACAAAAGGCATTTTGTAACAAAAAAAACAAAAAAAATTACTGACTAATTCTGTAACAATTCATATTTTAGTAGGTAGATTATCGATGCAGTGCTAACAAAAACATTACATAATGAAATGCCTTGTTGGTTACAGTGCAAATATTGAACTTAAAATGAATGATGAATAGTACCAAATCCACCAACGCCCAAAACCTTTGTGAAAAGTGATACACAATAAGAGAGGACTTAAAAACAATGTAAGGGCACTGGGAGATTATAGCACACTTGTATATTACTTGCACTAAAGTACATCTTATCAAAGCATGTTAGAGCGTCTCTCTCCTAAGAGTGACAGTGTGTGATTGAACATGTCATGGTCCGATGAAGCAAGAGAGTGAAAGCACACAGTCACTCCCTTAGCACTGACAAAACTGAGAGCGTTGTGAGTCCCTCTGCATGTACAGGCATTTCCCCTTCATTCCAGCACACTTTTCAAAACTCACTCACACCTAGAAACTTGGTAGGAATGTGCAGAAATTTATTCAGGAATTCTCCCACATCTGACTGAAAGTTCAGGGCCCTTATTCAATTTCCTACAGGGGGCAGCAAATATACACCTATTCACCCCATTAATCCTCTTCTAATTATGAAATCCTTAATCTAAGAAACATTTTACATTCCTGGAGATGCTTTTTTTTCAGTTTGATGAAATTAATTATGCATATATTGTAAAACAAATGCTAAGTGAGCTATGCTATGCTTTTCTTTTAAAGGGATAGTTCACCCAAAAATGAAAATTCTCTCACTAATTTACTCACCCTCATTCATGTTCTGTAGAAGAAAGAAAGTCATACAGGTTTGGAATGACATGAGGGTGAGTACATGATGACAGAATTTTCATTTTTGGTTGGACTATCCCTTTTAAGCTTTGCTAAAAGTACATTTAAAGATGAGTATATTTAAATGTGTTAGTATGAATTATAATGAATCAATCTGTTTATAAATGCTGCTTTATAGTAGTCCCTATAAGCCATTGATTTATTTTTCCTGTCTTTAGAGTAACCAAGAAAAGCTCAAAGTGACTTTTTGGAAGTAGAACTATCCAATAAAACGCTTGATTCACATTCTCTCCACTAGCCGAGGTAATTCAGCATCGGCTGAATCCTTTCAAAGGAAATCAAAAGCTAACCTTATGATTAGATGTATTTCAGTGTAAAGTCCACATCCCATTACCTGAGCCAATGGAGGCTCTCTAAATGCATAGAGCTGCCATGCGTCTGAAGGGCTAAAGATTAATCCCTGGAGCCTATGGAGCTATTCACAGGTAGGGCCTTTCAGATGATGGACTAATAGCTATCGTTCTTGGGTTTGTGTGAAAGTGTGTGTGGTGGGGGGTTATGCAAACAGAAGTGATTACACACAGTCAGGCTGAGGTGTGTGTGTGTGTGTGTAGGGGGGTTGGAGTTGCCGGTTGATTGATTGTTAAGGGGGGCGGGAGGTTCCGCACGCTCACTTTGTGATGAATAGGCTGTCAGATGCCCTCCAACTACCCAAACAAGGCTGTGGTAAAACAGGCATTTAAATATAAACAAAAATATTAAACGTCCATTACGGAGGGATTATATATGCTGCCACTCCGCAGGTGAGAGGCGAATGAGGGAGAAAAAAGACAGTTATGCGGGGATGAGAAAAAAGGACAGGTGCTCAAGCTACGTATTTGTTGTTTCACGCCCGACTAATGTTTTTCTGTTTATTCTCCACAATGACCAAATCACAGGCATTAATCTCATTTTGAGAGCACTTGAGGTGCATATTTTGTGTGTGTCGTGTATCTCTGATGCTTTCATTTGACTGGGCATGTTACCGCATCCCCATATTCAAATTAGCTGAGATAAAGAGCATTTGCAGAGATTCAGTGAGGGTCTGGGGCTGGGAATGTGTGAATATTTATCTTTTATTTAATGATGATTTGTGCGGTGTGCCCTTTAATTCCTCTGCATTAACTAAGATGAATAAATACTGTAGAATCGATAGGGTGGAGTGCGACATGAATACATCTGCGTCCTCTTCAGGTAGCAAGAGTGAGACTGCTACCTGCAGGAATTATTTAAACTCACTTGTCAAACAGACAGAAGACTGAGAAATAGTGTTGTCCTTGAAGGTATGCAGAATTTTATTGGATAGTCAAGAACTTGCACAATTTTTGGTCTAACTAGTTTAGATCCTGTCGAGAGTGGGAAAATATGAATATCATATGAATTTAAAATATCTAATTAATAAATAAATAATTGAAAGGGGTTAAAGTTGAGTAATTTATCTGAATAAACCAAACTGGAAAATTGATAAAAAGTTAAGTATTTGTCAAATATGCACAGAGAATTATGATGTGAGGTTGCGTGTGTGATTTCAATATATCTGAATTTTTTATTAGTTCTAGAATTAAAAATGTATATCTCTTGTGGTATCTATTGCTTCAGAAATGTATCAGTTTAATTCAGTTGTATTCTGCCTCATGAAGTGATAGCCACTCCACAAGACATGGTCTTTCTTTCTTTCTTTCTTTCTTTCTTTCTTTCTTTCTTTCTTTCTTTCTGTAAAAAAATAATAATTCTGTGCTACAATCACGCTTGCTCATGTTTGCTGTTTATGTAGTTTAATTGTCATATTTGGGACAATTGTCTTTTTCCTTTCTCTGTCTTTCTTTTTTTTGTCTATGGTTCCACAAGTCCCTATCTCTCTCATTCCATTTATCTTTAAAAAATGTATTTTACAGTTCCTGTTTGTCTTCTCATTCTCTCTTTCTGTAAGATTCTGTCATGTTTTGGTTCAGCTACCTCTGATTGCTCCCCCAAAATTGGCTCTAGTCTCTCTATTCTTTAAAGCCAGTGCAGTTATCATACCATTGTTTCCCTCCTATTCGTCTCTTCCTTTTGTTCTTCTGTCAGTGTTGCTCCTCTTGGTTTGTCAGGAGGATAGTTCCTTTGTGCTACCGTGGCTATTATGCTGTCCTCTACAGCATTTATAAAGTAAACACTGAAACTTTGCTTAAAGGAATAGTTCAACCAAAAATGAAATAAATTGTCATCATTTTCTCACCCTCATTGTTTCTTGGAACACAAAGGAGCTATTTAGCAGAATGTCCAAGCTACTCTTTTCCATACAATAAAAGTGTCAGCTGTCACTGGTCTATACACATTCAATGTATAAGTTTGGACATTCTGCTAAATATCTCTTTTTGTATTAAAATAAAAATTAGGGGTTAAATGATTTTGTTTAGTTGACAAATTACAGAATCACTCAATAATGATATTTTATTTATATAAATTTGTACTATTAGTATTACTATGTATTTTATAACAATATTTTTTCAGCCTTTGAAAAGTATTCAATTCAATATTACAACTGGACCTCATATGCTAAACAACAATCAATAATATTTTTGGGTAAAATATTTTAATATTTCAGAACACCATTATTAATTTGGTAACACTTTACAATAAGGTTCCATTAGTCAGTGTTAATGTGTTAACTAACATGAACAAACAATGAACAATACATTTATTACAGTATTTATTAATCTTTGTTAATGTTAGTTAATGAAAATACAGTTGTTCACTGTTTGTTCATGTTAATTCACAGTGCATTAACTAATGTTAACAAACACAACTTTTGATTTTAATAATGTATTAGTAAATGTTGAAATTAACATTAACAAAGATTAATAAATGCTGTAGAAGTATTGTTCATTCTTAGTTCATGTTAACTAAATTAGTTAAATAATGAACCTTATTGTAAAGTGTTACCATTAATTTATTAGGAAAACCTTTGTGAATATGTAGCCTATATTTAAATATACAGTGTCATATCAACAACAAGTATACAGTCTGATGTCTCTTAACCTGAAGCCTATTTCGAACTGAAAAATGACTCACGGTTTAGTAAGAGAGTCAGTTGAGAACTCAGCAACAGCTTTTAATGTTTCACTGAATGAGTGAGTTTGATTCAAATTGCTTTAGATTTCAATTGTTTGATTTCAAGAATCGTTTTTGACTGATTCACTACAAATAAGAGGGTTCGATTTTGTTTTCTCTTGATCACGGGAAGAAATCCACACAGGGACGGTGTCCTCAGAATCTTCAAAGTTTATTAAAGGTAGACACATTTATATACTGTGGTTCTCAAGCAATGTTACATGATTTAAGGAAATATTACCTTGGGTACAATAACATAGCTTATAATTCATGAGAGTGGTAAGAGCTTTTTTTTTTTTTTTTTTAGAAGAGAGAGAGCACAAGGTTACACAACACAAAATGTGACACAAAACTTCCTGAGCAAAAGTCACATGACAGATGGTAATTGGTGGTGATGACTAACAATAAAAAAATAAGAGTATAGATCATCATAGGTGTGGTTATCTGAGGCCCTTTTGTTATTTTTCACATGGCTTGTGCTTTGTTCAGCAAACATTTTCCAGACTGTCACCAGTGTTGCATGTGTGACCATTTTAGTCACCTCCTGGAGTATGAAGCCTGAATGAGCATCAGTAAATGATGACAGAATTGTTAGAAAAGATGAAAAATGGAACCATAATGAGAAAAAAAAAGTGCTGAGTGAAAGGAGACAGAAAGGAAAGTGAAGAGAGGGAAGATAAATCAATACTTTCTTGTCTTGCACTCCAGTCAGCGTGCATACATGGGACATTTCCTCACCTTATATGTTCTC